AATTTCATGCAATTATTTTCACTATGGAAGTCCCGCCTCTTAAACGTAGTGATTATATTCTCTTTGGATATTTTATTTTAACTAGTTCTATACGAAGTACAGGTATATTATAATATCTTAGATATGGACTGGATACCGTAGAGAGAGAACATACTCTTCCCGATGTATTACTTTTATCTATGATATACTCCCTCTACGACTGGATACACACCATGACATAATGAGGCGATTTGATTTTCGCCATTTTGGCGCTGACAGCAGAAGTGAACGTCCAAGGAACTAATAATAGAGATAAGAAAGTGTGACAAAACAAAACATATCAATAAAAATTCTATATCCATGCCTACCCGTAAAGTCCATTGTATTTATGAATCATATTAATGTAATGCCATACAATAAATGAATGTATCAGTTAATACCGAGGCCTTAGATGCGAGCTTTATACCTCATGTAAAACTAAGATCGACGCTGTGTTGGACTATCTACGTTTTTATTCGTAACTACAGAACGGATTTTGTTCCGGGTTTCAAACGAGGAAATGTCTACGCATACCAGCTTCGTGGGGGCAAGAACGGATTATGTCGAACTCGCACTTACTAAAACCCCATAGTGTTCCACCTTCGCCGCACATTGGCAGGGCCACGGAAACGCTTTCAAACACATCCGCGGTCCCACCAGCGCCAGACACCTAATAGCAGCCCCTCCATAGTTGAGGACTTCTCCTCCAACTTTCCTTCTCAGATAAAGCACACCAGAAACACACGGCACACTGCCCTTCGCGGCCTCCAACTCCACCTGCACAACAGACTCCCCCAACACCAAGTGGTATAGCCCCGCCAAAGTCACGCAGGATGGTCGAGTGGCGCACCGCTTCAGCGATATAGGGAGAGGACTCCTCTAGCCGCAGCCCACTAACAAATATCCAAGGGCTCGACAATCTCACTCAGAGTGGCCACCTTGGGCCAGCCCTTCACTACGGGCCAGCCTTGTGAGTCACCCTACGTTTACTATGGGTTAATAGGCCACGGCTACTAAACACCCCCCCACCCCTGCTATGACAAGGCGGGAACCCGTTTATGGAGGAGCTATTTCTCACCTTAACTCACACAAACTCACTAAGGACATAAATAATTTTGTAGTCCCTTTATAAATTTATTCCTTTGATACAATAAATTGGTCATATTTAAACAGATTTAACAAATATACATCTTGAAACACAAAGTCATCATCAGGTGACCTTTTACACTTGGCTATGGCCCATGAGTCTGTGGGAAAATAAGGAGAGAAGAAATGAAAAAATAAATATTCGAAATAATAATTTAATACTTTTATACTTACTGGTACTGGTCTATCAGAAAATATTGTGTAAAAAAGATCTTGATTTACAAAACTTGCAAGCCATGAAGTAACACTTTTTCGCGACAGTGAACTCACATCATGTTTGAGCATCCTAGGTAAATAGGTTTTTTGCATAGAAAACACAGGTACTGAGTCTGGCCTTTCTTCTCCGGGTCACACACAGAGCAAATCATGCTGGTCTCCAATCTATCTATTCCATCAGTTTTACTTCCTTAATGTGAAGGAAATTCTTCCTCGTCGATTAGCAGCACCTGACGAAGTGAAAGTCTGATGTCCCGATGAATCACCACAGCCACTCACAGAAGAAATAACCATTTTGGAAAAAAGTTACTCACTAAAAATAACCACTATTACAGTCATTCAAATTCGGTTACAGAGTCATGAGATTTGGTATCCTTTTCTATCTTGCATTTTTGCCATAAGGAATTTTCTTCAATACGACAGTACATTCTAAGTCTAAGGGAGAAGATATATGAACCCACAAAAGATATAGATGCGCACACACGTAAATATTCATAAAAATAATATCGCTGGTGTCTGTGAGAACACGCTTTCTCCAGCTTGGAGATGATATTGAAAGTTACTACAACAGAAGTGAGACGACGGGACCGTGTTTGTGTAAGGAATCGCGGAAATCATTTTGAGCATCAATCAATAAATAAATAATTTGAATTAAAATGTTTTTTTATTAGAATGCCTAAAAATAAAATTTTATTCCTCAACCAGGCTTCTAAGTCCTTATTTTAATTATTTGTGACATATCCGCGTAATTGATACCTCAAATGAAAGAGTAGTAACCAAGCATGTTTGCAAAGTTTTCAAAAAGCTTTAAACAAAAAAAGTACCATCCGGTTTTTTTTAACTTGGCGTCAAAAACCTGTTTCTTTAAATCTTTGAAAAAATATCCGGATTGCTGCTCCTGTTTTATCGTTTATTTAAGAGGGCCCTTCTCGGCCCGTCTATCGTCAACGCGAGCATGGTTAAAAAGCTTGTTGTTTCATCCAGCGCAATGTTAGAAAAAGAGGCAAAGCGGAAAGAGAGAGACAGCGCCAGAGCATTCGGTTGGCATTCGGTAACTTACCGCCTCGCTACTATGGCGCATAGCTATAGTTTTGTAAATTTCTCTGCATGCCTACATTTAGTAGGTACCGTATTATTTTATTATATTACTCTTTGTCTAGTACAGACGTGCCGCTTGGCCTCGGAGGTATGTGTGTGTTGTTTTTTACCAAACTAGGTATTGTACGTTCGCTATTTTTGATATGGAAATTATTTATGTTATAATTATAAACGAAATTATTTATGTTATAAATAATTTTCCATGTTAAAAATAATATGTCGCAAATAAAAAAACTGTCACTCAGAGTCGGCCAACTCATGTGTGTAAGTACACTCTGCGGCACATCAAGCTATACATTTCTAGTATAACATGGCCCCGCTTTGTTTCAATTTCCCGTACAATAAGAGTACCGCATAAACTGGTCAGCCCGGCACGCAAACATTCACAACATATTAGTCGGCCGTTACACGTGCAAACATCAATACTCACACATAAACTGGACTCAGTTCTGTTTTAGCAAGGAGTTCCATACAACTTTTTTGTACGTCCATGTTATACCTAAATAGAGCACGAAAATGTAAAGGTAAATAATTTATTATGCTTATGGATTAGCGGTATAAGCAGAATAAACTCTTTACCTGTCTAGGCTGTTTGTATTTAGGAAGCTGAAATTAGGTAACGTACCTACTTGTACCGTATATAAATGTCTCCAAATGTATCTTTGTTTAGGTACTAATTTGTACCGTAGTACAGGTGGTTGATCACAAATAAAGTAGTCTAAATAGAGGTGGGTATAAATATATATTTTTATTCTAAAGAACTTTGTTACACTTTATGAACAATACATAAAACAACCCAGTTGTCGAGACGATTCTGATTTCCGAACACAAAGAATTTACTGTCAGAAGTGATTGAAAATTTAGTAAAAAAACATATTATTATCTAATAACAATAGTAATATTCTCAATAGTAATAAAATTGATCTCCTTCAAAATCCTTATCCAAACAAAGTCTGTTTCCGTATTCACAAATGCCAGGTTCGTTTCACATTATAAATAAACCTTTCGCTAGCAAAATCAGTGTCCGGTATAAAAAAATAAGATCGTTGTAGTAAGTAAAACAGATGTCACTAAAAATAAAATGCAACGGCACATTGACGTAGCGTAGTCAACAAATTGAGTACCTACTAACAATTCCGAGAGGCCAGAGAGCCGGACGCGTGCGCCACCGGCGCTCTTCATTCAACTCCCCAGTCTCACCCCGCACCTACCTCGCACGACTTGTCCCCCGCATACCTCTTACCGCCACTTGGCTAATAAGCAAGTGAGAACGCGATAATATTGAACGAAAAATAGTGTGCGGAAATTTCATAAAACTTGTTCCAGGAAATACGTGTTTTTCAGTAACCCACAAGCTTGTGAAATAAATTTTTGTCATTTAATCAATCTCCATTAGATTGGCGAGGTTTCTATAAAATATTTTCTTTACTTTTACTTTTAGTGAGTACATTATGAACGACCAAAGTTCAGGTAAAATTTATGCAAAAAAGCAGATTTTTGGAGGTTTACACAGAATTTGTTTCTCCAAATTTAGATTTTTTGTTTAGATAGGAACCTAGATATAGTGCACAAGATACCTATTAGTTCAAAATTTTCAAAGAAAGATCTATTACAATGCCATAATCACATACAAGCGTTTGTATGAAAAGTTAGACGGGTTGGCCGCTCTTAATCGTTTGAAGTGGGTTTTAAACTTTGATACATTAGAGTGATGCGATTATGTGTATCAACTTTTTTGCCAAAGTGCCTGCGCATGTTATCTATTAGTGGAATTCGATGAAACAAGTGCTCCGATTTTGATATAAACCTCAAGTTATTTTGTTCGCTCAGGCGTCATATGAACTTGAGATACTGTCATTATCGACTTTCCTCTGGGTTTAGCTGTCCTCAAAATCTCTCAAGAACTTTTCAATGTGGCGCATCGGCATATTGTAAAGAAGTTTTTTAAATCCTAACTGAAATGAAGACATGGCTTAAAGAACAAGCATTCAAGACAAAAATCTTAAAATAATAAAAATAGTCAAAACTTCAACTTCAAAACCTACGTTCTGCGAGTTTTGGCGGGAACTTGACCGGCGGCGGTTTGCTGCTCCTGTATTATAGTTTAAAGAATAGTTTGAAGTGGATTTTGATATGTAAAAGTGATGCAATTTTATGTATTAACTGTCTACGCATGTGAACTATTAGTGGAAACGGTGAAACAGGTGCTCTGATGGTGATGGATTCTCAAGATAAGCTATTTGTCTGCATAGGCGCCTTTAGATACCATCACTAACTATCAACTGTCTGCTGGCTCAAGTTGCCGTCAAAATCTCCCAAGGGCTGCACAATGTGACGCATCAACATATTGGGAAGCAGTGAACTATGACGGATAATATAAAAAAGACAAGGCTGTATGGCTTAGTTCCTTTGCCTGCTCTCTCGAGGGAATAATAAGGTATACAGTAATCTGTGGTGTGCATAGGCGAATTTGTAAATGTTATGTTTAGGTTAGGAATTTATCTTACATAATATAATTTAAAATGATTCATAAATGGTTCTATAAATTTATTAGACGAAGAACGAAACCAATTCCGGCGGATGAAGCTTTTTTATGGAAGCGGCGCCTAAGTTTAGCGTATGGATTTATTGCCTGGAATGCATTTGGTTTACTTGTTTATTCAATTTATCAAGGAAAAGCGGATTGGGCACACTATTATGGTCTCAAATCAGATGAAGAGCAAGCAATACCTCCAGGTAATTTTTTAATGAATTTTATTTTTATAAAATTGACGTGACAAACTTACAGTCCACCTGATGTTGAGTTGTACCTTGGACATCTGCAACGGACTTCAAATAAAGAAGGCTTTATTGTCTCCTCTGTGGACTAAGATGTAATGTCTCACAGCCTGTAACACTTCTGGTGCAGTACACTGCAGACCAACACGCAGCAGTGCATGCACTGCTATGATATGCCCTAGCGAGTGTGGCAGCCGCTCCAGTGTTTGACTGTTCAGCGTGGATGTCGGTTGTGTACGAGTAGCTGCCACTATCATAGTTATTCACAGTATTATACACAAGAAAAAAAAAGAAACGAATAGTGTGTTGGTGGATGAAAGAATTGTACTGAAATAGAGCCAGTAATTTGGCTTTTAGATACTCTGCATTTTTCTCTCCCCTTAAGATGATAAAAGCACGGTAATTTTTTTTCTTCAATTCTGGCACAGATACTCCCATCTCTGAGCACTTTATTATAGTAAAAACTACTTTTGCTATTCCACAGCAGATCTTTTAAACTAATATAATTGTATGAATTTACGGCAACTTTGGTTATCCATAACTCGGAACACAACAAAAATAATGAAAACAAATGTCCCAGTTGGCGCGTGCGCCTATGCTTAAACTACTTTGATGTGTGGTAAAAAACCAACACCAGATGGAGCGGCCCGCTCCCTGTTCGAGCGCTCCAACGAACAAATTGGCGCGCGCTCGAAGGCGGTATCCATTTCGTGCGGCTGGAGCGTGCGCCAAATTTCGACTTCTTGGAGCGCATAATCGATACGTGGCTTAATTGTGTAACATACATGATTGTAAGCTGTTTTATTTTAAAGTCCCGCTGGGTTTCTTATTGGAATAGAACAGAATAGAATAATTTTTTATTTAATATTGATTATTACATAATGCTTATTGAAAGTCATTTTTTATTTACCACTGGTTCGGAAAATACCTCAGTCCTGGGAAGAACCAGCAAGAAACCCAGTGGGACTTTTTATTTAAACATAATTTCACTTAACAATAATTTTGTTTATACAATTTTTAAATGATTCTTCATAGAACCAGCATGGTGGCGATCACCCTATTCCCAGGGGTTATTTTCATTCATGTATTCCTTGATATTATAATAACCCTTTTTGTACAGTTTTTCTTTAATAAAACTTTTAAACTTGTTTATTGACAAACTGAATATGTTCTGGGATTTTGTTGTAAAAGCATATACATTGCCACATAAATGAATTACTGATTCTGTGGAGTCTAGTAACTGGCATTACAAGCTTATGTTTGTTCCTAGTATTTAAAGTATGCACATCATTATTCTTATTAAAGCTATTTATGTTTTTATGCACACACATTACATTCTCATAAATATATTGCGATGCCAAAGTTAATATGTTTATTTCTTTAAATTTTTCTCTGAGGGACTCTTTACAATTTAGGTTATAAATCACCCGTACGGCTCTCTTTTGCAAAACAAATATAACTTCATTATCAGCTGCATTACCCCATAGCAAAATTCCATAAGACATTACGCTATGAAAGTAACTAAAATACACTAATCTAGCTGTCTGTGAGACTTCTAATCTTTCTTACAGCACATGCTGCAGAACTAAGTTTGCTTGCTAATTTAGATATATGGGGGCCCCATTGAAGTTTCGCGTCAATAGTAATACCAAGAAAAACAGTGGTATCCACAAGACTCAACTCCTCCCCATTTAACAGCACATTGATGTTCGAATGTTTTACATTAGGTATTGTAAATTTAATACACTTTGTCTTATTGCCGTTTAAGAGCATATTGTTGGCGTTAAACCAATATACTAATTTCGTTAGAGCATTATTTATTATTTATTTATTTATCTTCACGCACAATCCCTGACGGGGTAGCCAGAGAGAACAGATCGCCAAGTGTCACGATACTTACAAACCTCTTTCGCTTCTTTCAGATTCATTATCTTCTTCATGCATGCACGTCTAGGTATCCGAGTACTCTTGACCCTACCCTCTTCGAGCAATTTGCTCACATGGTCTTCGAAAGTTAGTCTCGGTCTACCTCGACACCTTTTAATATTAACTTTCGCGCCATATATTTTCTTCACCATTCGGTCTTCACTCATTCGCTCAACGTGCCCAAACCACCGAAGCACACCCTTATCAATTTTTGTGATAAGGTCATCTTTCAAACCTGCCATATTGCGAATCTCTTCGTTTCGCTTTCGGTCGGCCATGGTAACGCCGCACATTTTACGAATAGATCGCATCTCCATTGCATTCAACTTACTTTTATGCTTCTTCTGGCATACCCAGGTTTCGCTGCCATATAACAAAGTCGGTACCAACACTGCGTTATGTATTGCAAGGCGTGCACTCTTCGCTACGCCTTGCCTTTTGACTAACGCAGTCAGGGCACCATTGACTTTGTTCCCGGCAGCGACACGCCTGTCCACATCTAAATCACATCTTCCATCCCGGCTAAAAGCACTCCCCAAGTATACAATTTCATTTACCTGTTCTAGACATTCCTTACTTACTTACTTACTTATCTTCACGCACAATCCCTGACGGGGTAGCCAGAGAGAACAGATCGCCAAGTGCCACGATCCTTACATACCTCTTTCGCTTCTTTCAGATTCATTATCTTCTTCATACATGCACGTCTAGGTATCCGAGTACTCTTGACCCTACCCTCTTCGAGCAATTTGCTCACATGGTCTTCGAAAGTTAGTCTCGGTCTACCTCTAGACATTCCTGATTTACCCATATTTCACACTTCGTTCTCTCTTCGTCCCTTTCAAATACCAGAACCTTAGTTTTATTAGCATTCAAACGGAGACCTTTAATTTCACATTCCTCTTTCATACACGTGACTAATGCCTGCAGTTCTGCCTCTGATGGTGCAATAAGCACTGCATCATCAGCGTACATTACGAGCATTATTTACATCGTCATAATTAATTAACTGTCTTTTGAGTTTGAAAATGAAAGAGGTATCGTCAGCAAATAATACTATATCGTGATTGTCTCCTACAAGATAAGGTAAGTCATTAATATAGATTAAAAACAGGAATGGGCCAAGAATCGAGCCCTGAGGAACACCCATTGATACTACTGATCCGGAGGAACCTTTACCATTGATCACGACTTTTTGAGTTCTGTTAATTAAATATGAAGTAATAAGTCTAAGCGCTATATTTTTTACACCGTAATGTTGTAGTTTCCTGATTAATGTCTCATGATGAACACAATCGAAAAGATGTGTGCCTTGGAAAGATCACAGAAAATACCTAAGGCATCTTGTGAATTCTCCCAGACATTAAAAATATATTTCATAAGCTCAACACCGGCGTCAGACGTCGAGCGACCCCTTGTAAAACCAAATTGGTTTTTATGAAGTAATTTATTAGTATTAAAAAAAAATTACAATTGATCCAAAATTATTTTTTCAAAAATTTTACTGATAGTTGGTAGTACAGAAATAGGTCTAAAATTAGCGGGGTCCAATGTACTACCAGATTTAAATAAGGTATTACTTTACTATACTTCATTAAATCAGGAAACACCAGAATCGATACAAGTATTAAAAATAATAGCAAGATGAGTTGCAATTAAATCTATTATGGACGCAATAACTGTAACGGAAATCGCCTACAAATCTGCGGTCTTCTTTACATCAATGGTTTTGAAGTATTTTACAACATCTTGCGATAATACGTTTTCAAATCTAAATTATTTTAAACAGGTGTTAACATTCTGTTTGAGTAATGACTCAGCGACAGTTGGAGAAGTATTCAATGACTCTGTTGTCAAGATAGGAATATTAGTGAAATATTTCTCAAACACTGCTGCGACTTCCTGATTTGATTTAGTCAATTCATTGTTAATTTTTAATTGATAGTTTGAGTTACGAGGTTTGTCTTTACCGGTTTGATTGTTAATTATACTCCACGTCATTTTAATTTAATTCTTAGCCGTCTTAATTTTGTTGCAAATATGTAATGATATGGCTGTGGAGCAAACTCTTTTAAACATTTTAGAATAATTTTTAACATATTTTTTAAAAGCATCGGAAAGATTATATGATCTTGCATGGTAAAGGTCATATAACCTTCCTCTGCTTTTATGAATTCCTACTATCGTCCACTCATTAAATGCCTTGCGACTGTTTCTGGAGAATGTTTTAGAAGTAAATGTTTTTTTTAAATTCATTGCTTATAAGGGTTAATAATTCTCTATATAAATAGTCTGCATTGTTCTTATAAGAAATCACTTTCTTTTTTTTTTGAAGGTTTTTGGAAGGTTTTTTACCATATTACTTCTAAATTTCTCCAGGCGCTGGTTCTTCCCAGTACAGATTTTTATTCAAACCAGTGGTAATTAAACATAAAAGTGACTTTCAATAAGTATAATTTATAATCTACATTGAATAAAAAAGTTTCTGTTTCTGTTTCAATGGGCCTATGATACATGGATATTTGGTTGCTAGTGCCTAATAAGCATGTTACTATGATAAGTTGCTATTTTAGTTATCAACTTTTTTGCAAAACACGATAGTGATCATGTGGTTATATATATTGTGGGAGGTGGTAGATAGCACCATCCCTATTATGATAGTTGCATTGATTCTTACTGCTTGCCGTAATATTCCGTCTATTGATGAATCTGAGGGTATTCTGCAATTGATTTGATATATCTTGTGGTTCTGGTCAGTGGAGGTTGTGGGTGGAGATGTATGCGTGGATGGTACAGGGGATCATAAGATGATGTTAGCCTAGCGATAATTGTTTTGATGTTTGTTGCGTTTTGCGGCACTGCATCTCTACAATGTGTTTGGGCGGTTTATATGCAATGGCGTTCTCTGTGTCTTGGTTCGTCTCACATCTGAGTTTGTGGGTAAGACAAACACAATGGAAAAATGCATACATACATTTTTGGAAGGTACTCTCAAACTGGTTGTCAATAAATAGTAATAAAAAGTAAATGTGACATAATTATGCTTCATAGATTTGATATTTATTAAGGTGAACACATATTTATCAGCATCACATTTTAAATCGGTCTGTAGTTCTTCAAGAGGGCATCGTCGCTTTTCTTGAAAAATAAGACAGTAAATAAAAATAGAAAAGATCGGTATTCTATAGGATGCATTTCAGTGAGTGTGCACAGGAATTACACGCTTTAATTCCTCCCTCTCCTTTCCACCATCGGACAACCAGGCGGTCGGCGAGTCTTCATCCCTTTGTTGTCGATATTCCACGCATTAGAACCAAACGGTTTGCTACGTCTTTTGTAATACGTACAGCAATTGAGTGGAATAATTTGTCGGCGTCTATCTTTTATTTGTTGACTTCATTAGACTCTCCAACTTAAAGTTTAGGTTCAGTGTGCCTCTCACCATTCGCTGATCGCTACCAGTTTTAACCCTCGCGATCATTGAGACATCACTAGACAGTTGCCTTCTATTCGTCATAATGAAGTCAATTTCATTTTTTGTCGAACCGTTTGGGCTTGACCAGGTCCATTTCCTGTAGGGCCCCACAGGAAGTGGACTTGGTGGAGCCCCTGGCTTCTGGAAGAAGAATTCAACATAAAGAGTCGCTTTTTATCCATGAAGTCTGCCAGTTGCTGGCCCCTTGGGTTCTGTTGCCCTATTCGGAATTTCCCTACCTTCCGCTCACCCTTCTCTCTTTTGCCTAGTTTTGCGTTGAAGCTAGCTTCTTTAGTTAAAAGATAAAAAGGTGTCTATTAATATTACTTTATATATTTAAGTCACTAATACCTTTTCAATGTAATAGAAAACTTAGTGTTTGTTAGCATCCTGTTAATTTTCTTGAGTAAAAACTAAAGTAGTATGTGGTAGTTAATGGAATAAAATATTACAGTTTTTTTTTACATTGTATGTATGCATTTTATATTTTATGACATTGTAGTAAATTATTAAACCTTATTCTTTTTTCAGCACAAGCATGGGCTAAGACATTAGGCATTAAAAATGCTAAAGTCTACAGAATATCTGGGTTTAAAAAGGTGGACGAATATGAAATAGTTGATGGTGAACAAGTAAGACATACCAAAAAGGATACACAACCCACTGAAGAATTAAAAGAATGATAGAACTTAGTCTGTGCAAAAATTTCGAGTTATTTAAAGAAAACTGTATATAAAAAATATATGTACGCTTCATTGAGTTTCAATTAATTTTTTCCTGTTTAAGAAACTAATAATTTATTAGCTTCATGGAGCAGAGTTTAGCAGTACAAAAACCAGCCACATTCGAAAAAAATATTAAGTGTATGATGGGATTTCAATCACTGCTGATTTGACATCCAGCAGTTATAAAAGTTAACGAAATTATTAAGGCATTAACAGTGGTTGAAATGCCTAAATCTTGGATATTTAAGTAAAAAAATCTCAATAACTGTTCATTTAATCCACAAAGAAAAAATACAGGGTAACAGAAGAGGACTTGGTAAATGTTTTAAATTGAACAAAATTATATTTTTGTCAACCTCTTATTAGAAAAAAAAATCCCCAAAGAGTACCTATCTTTGTCATATTTTGCAAAATTTCTCCAAAACGGCACAAGCTTTTTAAATAGTTCTTACACTACAAAAAAGGTCTTAAAATATTAATATTTTTAATTGAGAGTTTTATTTTTATACCCCGTTTTATAAGAGAATAAGTTTATACTTAATTATAAATATTTTTATGACTAGAAATACTGAATTTAGTTAGTATCTGTACACTGGTAACTGTAAATATAATTTTCTAAATAAATTAATTTTTAAAGTGCCCAAAGAAGAAGAAATTTTCGCGGCGACGTTGATTAGTGAAAATGAAAAATGCATTTTTATCCTAGATTATTTACTCTCTAGATAAAGCGTCCATAGATAAATATATATGTAGTATGTAGCAAGAAGCGTCATGCAGTGAGCGATGCAACAAAAACTGGCCAGTTTTTACAGGCGTGTGTTCCTTGAGGCACGCACACACGCTTAGCGGTTGCTATGGTGACAGAATAAGTAAGTAGGTAGACTTACACCAGCGTCATTTGTATCTGGGAGATACCAGCTAATGAATCTATCCCGATAAAATGGGGAAAAAATGTCATGTTAATAAAATCATAAATTATAATATTTGAATATGGTGCTTTCAAATGTGTTTAGTTGTCTGTTGCGTTAGAATCAAATTTTTATTGTAAAGAAAAATATAATCAAATAAAAATTAACTACGCATTTACAAAATATGTTTTATTTTATGTATGGTATCGACTTCTAAAAATACTAGAGGTTGGCCGGCGGCTTTACCTGCGTCATAGTTAAATAATTTATCCCGCAGGTACCCTTTAGCTTAAAATTTTATCCCATAGCGTTTCTACAGTTTAATCCATTTAAGAATAATTATTCCGTCCAGCATTGTTGTGCCAGCCAGAGTTGATATATGGGTGCCCCATTGAAGCATCTAAGGTCACCCCCCGGAATACAGTAAATATGAATTTTATAGGTAATGCCCTCGGAAATGAACTGTACTTCAAGTTGAAAGTTCGCTGCTCTAACCACTGAGTTACCATCGCTAGTGTATCTTACATACACTAGCGATGGTAGCTATATTAAAACCTAAATATATGAGCCTGTACTAACAAAACATATTTCTTTCGGTACCGCTTCCTTTTTCAATCTTCGCCAGCCTTGATTATTTGCAAAATAAAAGTCATTTTCACGGAAATGTTCAGAGCATATCACTGTGGTTTTGGATGGTTTTCAGAAATCTTCTCCACGGCTTTTTCTTTTTATGTCCACCCATCGACTTCTAATTATAGGATCAATAGGTATCCTAAAACCATGTATCCAAATGGTCGCATTCGATTTTGACAATTAACATTAAAAATGAACATAGGTCAGCTTTTAAGACAACTATACAGGGAAATTCGCAATCCAAGACTGGCAACAGCAAAAAATTACGCGTTGATTTTGTAAATAAAATTATCTATTTATTAGTTTTGTTTTCGTAAATTATTATTAGTTTTGAGTTACCTACCGATGGTAGGAGATTTTGTTAGTTGTTTGTAAACGTCCTTTGTAATTTCTGCAGATTTTGATCGCGCAATTTGTCATTTTCACCAAAATAATTGACCTCAAAAAAATGAGCCGTGCGTGAGTACCTATCTCTTGGCGTTACAATTGACAGTAAGGAGAGGGGAGCGCTTTAGAGGCTACTGATACTGAATTTTATAATTATGTATTACAATAAAACGCTGTTTTTATGAGTATGACTTTATAAAATATTATTGGGGAGGGAAATATAGATACAGATACTTACATTTAAGTACACTGTTATCAAATTAAATCAAACAATTTAAATAAATAAAAAAATGGTGCTACCCTAAGTATAAATAACTATATAAAGACATTCTTTGGTTTATGGTTTTTTTTTTATGTTAGACAAACTATCATCTAAAAAATGTAAAATTTTAATATGAAGAGGGGTTTCTCTACGTGATAGTTAGAAATGAAGATATTCGCAGTAGAACTAGAGTAACACAATAATACAAGAGCAGCAAACCGCCGCCGGTCATGTTACCGCCAAAAAAAACCAATGGGCTGGCTATATAACTTAGAAAACAGATAAAAAATAGGAAGAAAGGTTATCGAGTGGCAACCTCGTACAGGTAAGCGAAGTAGTACTCAACCTTTATTCCTGATAAAGAAAGTCAAAACCAATGGATATTTGGTTTTATTCAACATAAAAGGTTACATACATTATAAAGACAAAATTCATTGACAAGTAATAATATTTTTAGGATGACAGATATCTTCGTTTATAGCAATTATGAATAAGGTTGTATATTATAACAAAGAGGTAAGTATACTACAATCACCCGCCCTTGAAGTTCCAACATAATCGCGCAGATATGAGGGAGGCCGTCTGTCACGAGTGGAACGGCGCAGTCCGCTATTTTCTGTATCGTGCTCTGTACTGTTATTTTGAACATTTTCGGTTTGTTTAGATTGTACAGGTTCTACTGGCTCATTGTTTGTATTCATATCAGGGCGAATATTATTTCCATTATCTTGGCCATTTTCATTTTCCTCTTCACTAATCCGAATCATAGGAAGGGGCACCAATTGTCTATTGGATACAGTGCATTCTCGGCCATCAGAGAGACGAACATGCGAGTAAGTTGGATTTGCGTGAAGAACTTCTGCTTCTTCAACAAGTGGATCATATTTGGATGTTCTTATATTTTTCTTTATGAGTACAGGTCCAGAGTTTATAAGCCACGTAGGTAAAGATTTTCCATTAGGCGAACGACGTGGATGATTGAACATTCTTTCATGGGGAGTGACGTTTGTAGTCGTACATAAAAGCGACCGAAGTGAGTGTAACGCATTGAATAATACGCTTTCCCACTTTGAAATGTCCATATTCTTTGAACGAAGACTGAGTTGTATTGCTCTCCATAATGTGCCATTTAGTCGTTCAACTTGGCCATTTCCTTGAGGATTGTAAGGTGTGGTTCTGCTTGTAGCTATTCCAAGTGGCGTTAGAAAATTTTTGAGCTCTTCTGATAAAAAAGTCTTACCTCGATCGGAATGTACGTATAATGGAAATCCGAAAGTGTGAAAAGGATCTTCCAAACATCGTATCACTGTGGCCACCGATAAATCACTGCAGGGATACGCAAACGGAAACCTCGAGTACTCGTCTATAATTGTCAGTAGGTATCGGTTTTGAGTATTCGATGGGAGTGGGCCTTTAAAATCGATATTTATTCTCTCGAATGGAGCAATAGCTTTTATCAACTGGCCTTTTGATTGACAGAACCGTGGTTTTATCTCAGCACATACTTTACAAGATGCTGTCATTAATTTTATTTCTTCAACAGAATATGGAAGATTCTTTGATCTTATCCAGTGTACCATTCTGGTAACACCGGGATGACACAGCTGGTCATGTAGTTCATACAGCTTATTCGGATTAATGAGAGCGCATACTCTTGATAATGCATCAGCTACAGTATTTTGTCGACCTGGACGATAAATTATGTCGTATTTATAGCAAGACAGTTCTAAGCGCCACCGTTCAATTTTTTCATTTTTTATTTTGCTTGAATGTTTTTGATTGAACATAAAAGCAACAGACTGCTGATCGGTTATCAAAATAAAATATCTTCCAATAAGATAGTGGCGCCATTTACGAAGTGCTTCCACAATTGCGCTTGCTTCTTTTTCTATAGATGAATGGCCGCGTTCAGTGTTGGACAAAGTTCTTGAAAGGAAAGCTACAGGGCGACCATTTTGAGAAAGGGTAGCAGCTATTGAGTGCTCGGATGCATCGGTTTCTACTGTAAAAGTTTCGTCATTGTCAATAGCTGTCAGGGACGCTTTGGCTATTTCCAATTTTAAAATTTTTAAAACATTTTATGGCTTCTTGACTAAGTGGGAATCGTGTGTTATCAATCAAAGGCTTAGTAAGGTATGAAAAGTTGTAAATCCACTTCGAATAGTGAGCTAACATACCCAAAGTACGTCTTAATGAGGCTGCATCTGTTGGAGTAGGGAGATCCAATAGTGGTTTTAATCGTTCTTTGTCTGGCTTGATAACGTTGTTCTCAATGTAATATCCTAATAGACTTATACTTTTTGATCCAAAAGTGCATTTCTTCTCATTTAACGTAAGTTTGTATTTCTTCACAGCATTCATAAATTGCTGCAAGTTTTTATCGTGTTCGTCTCTATTTTTGCCACATACAGTCACGTCATCTAAATAACAGAAGGTGCCTCTAAGATTTTCAGCCTCAATTATGAACTGTAGCGTTCTCTGAAACGCAGCCACGCCGTTAGTGACTCCAAATGGTATACGAGTAAATTGATATAGGGCCCCACATGCTTCAAATGCTGTATATTTTCGTTCAGTCTCTAAAATCGGCACTTGGTGATAAGCGCTTTTTAAATCAATTTGGCTGAAATAGTTGTATTTTGCAACGTTGGAAACCATAGATTCAATGTTAGGTAGTGGATACGCATCGAGTTCAGTGAATCTATTAATTGTTAAGGAATAATCAATGACAAGACGTTTTCGATGTGTAGTGCCTCCTGTTACTAGTACTT